TCATATTTCTGGTGAAAGGGTTAAAAAACATGGTAAGGACAGAGACCCGTGCCTGGCATCAGAAACCTCTCTCCCCTCATCAACTAGTTGTGGATTTCTCTTGCTGTACTTTTGTTCAGTCCATGTTGCTTCTTGTATTAGTAGCTGTGGGAACAAAGAGGAAGAAATACTAAACCTTCCTGGAGAAGTTAGAGAATGATACAAAAAGAGATGATGTTTGATCTTGTAGGATAGATAGAGTTCTGCCAAGAGATAAGAAAGGAAAGAACATTCCTGGCATAGGAATAGCATAGGTAAAGATATAGAGGCAGTTGTACTGATTCAGCATGATTGTAGGGAAAAGGTGGTGGTATGATGGAACGCTTAAGGCTAGGGAGGTAGAAAAGGGCCTGGTCACAGAGGATCTTAAATACAAGCTAAAGACTTGGTCCAATTTTCTGTAAGTACTGGGAGACCAACAGGGAATTTTAATTGAGTAGTGAGACTTTTGTGTTTTATAGAGATACTGCTGCTGTGGACACTCATTGGAGTGGGAGAGACCAGGGGCAGGAAAGCCAAGTAGGAGGCTTCTAGGTCGAGAACTGTGAGGGCCGGAGCCAAGGCCATGGCAGTAGGAGTTTAGAGGAAGAGAAGGATGGGAGAGACTTTTAGGAGAGGGAATTTACAGGTTGTAGCGACTGATTGGATGTCAAGAGGATAGTCTAGAAAGACTCTTGCATTACTGGGTCACTAGATGTCTTTTTTTTTTTTAATTAACAAATAATCCTTATCATGTGTTAGGCACTGTTCTGTGTCCTACAAATATTAACTCATTTAATTCTCACAATAGCCCTATGAGGTAAGGTACTATTTTATCCCCATTATACAGATGAAGAGACAGAGGTACTGAGAGGTTAAGAAACTAGGTAGTAAGTAAAGGAGCAGGGATTTGAACCCAGGCAGTCTGGCTGCATAATCTATGCTCTTAACCCCAGTTTGAAATATGCAGTTGAGGTTAGAGAAAGAAGTCGGACAGCAGACAGAGATGTTTACTCATTCCAGCCTAAATACTTAGTAGCCCTGTTGTGTGCCCTGCAATGGGATAGACAGTGGAGATAAAGCAAGTAGGGCCCAGGGGGTCATTGAAAAGGAAGACTTGAAAAAGGCAGGGTATGCAACAGAGGAAACCTACATTTAAGCTAAATTTGTGTTTTGAAATCATTATGGAAGACTAAGTACCAAGATACAAAGAGGAAAACCAGGTGAGGAAGGAAACAAAGTAAATAACCTCAAGAAGAATTGAGAGACCAACAGCGTACTCTGTACTGGATGTCATTGGTGAGAGAGAACCTTTCAACCAGTGTGGCAAGGCAGAAGCTGTATTGCTTTTATTTATGTAAATAAATAAAATTGGAACCCTTAAGTCTCCAGAAGACAAAGAACAAACAGTGTGAAAGAACAAAGGATAAAAGAGCTGTAAATATAAATATATGGGAAATAGTCAAACCTAGAATTTAAAAAGTGGAAATTAGGGGCCGGCCCGTGGCTCACTCGGGAGAGTGCGGTGCTGATAACACCAAGGCCATGGGTTTGGATCCCATATAGGGATGGCCGGTTTGCTCACCGGGTGAGCTGTGGTGCTGACAACACCAAGTCAAGGGTTAAGATCCCCTTACCGGTCATCTTTTTAAAAAGTGGCTCACTCGGGAGAGTGCGGTGCTGATAACACCAAGGCCATGGGTTTGGATCCCATATAGGGATGGCCGGTTTGCTCACCGGGTGAGCTGTGGTGCTGACAACACCAAGTCAAGGGTTAAGATCCCCTTACCGGTCATCTTTTTAAAAAAATAAAAAAAATAAATAAATAATGGAAATTAAAAAATACGGTCTAAGTTTAAAATAAGTTAAAAGTGCAATGTTTATACACTTCTGATTCCAGCCAAGATGGAGTAAGAGGGAGAAGATTTGCTTTCCTTCCCAAACAATAGCAGCAACAACAAAACAGACAAAAATCCATGAAACAGTGGTTTCCAAGACCCTGGATATTAGGCAACAAAGGACAGTGATTCCCTGAGAGGTGGGAAACCAGTGAGGTAAGCTCTCTAATTACCCCAGTTTATTGCCTTGGAAGGGTATCCAGGAACTCAGGTGGGGCCCAGCAGAACTCCCTGAGTCAAGGATGTGGAGCTGCGACTCTGGGGAGAGCAAAGCAACTAGAGCTCACAGGACAGAATACCAGAGAGGAGGGACTCTTACAGAGAGAGAACCCTGGAGACCTGCAGAGGGTCTCCTTGAATATTCAGTAGAGCACACACAAAACAATACACATGTGAGGAGACTGCCTGAGGGAGGGAAAGATCCTGTAAAGGATTAGAGGGAACAGTACCTGATGTTCACGTGGGGCTGACAACAGTGCCCATTTCTAACAGCCAGAATGGAAAACTCTTCTAGTTCCTGGAGCATTGGGTAGGTCTTATCTACCCAATCAGGGCCTTTCAGGAAGGTCTTGCTACAGTAATTCAGAATAATTAGCCCTATACTACGCACTGCAAAATTCACCTAACAAATTGGAAAAGTAAGACCCAAAGGGGTCAGGCTGTTTCCAAGTAACCTAACTGCATTATAAAACAAAGTTCAAGATTTATAGGAATACAGAAATATCCAGCATCCAACCTTATAAAATTCACAGTGGTATCTGCCATCCAATAAAACACTACCAAGCATGCAGAGAGGCGGGAAAACATAACATAGTGAGGACAGTAATAATGAATTGAAACTGATCCAAAACTTACACAGATATTAGAATTAGCAAAGGAAATCAGTAAAACAGTTGTTACGACTGTGTTTCATATTGTCAAGAAGTTAAGTAGAGCAATAGAAGGTGTAAAGAACCAAATTGAGATTCTAGAGAGAAAGACTGCATTGTCTGAGATGAAAATACACCAGATTTTACAGATCAGACTTGCAGAGAAAAGAAGAGTGAACTTGAAAGCATAGCAATAAAACTATCTAAAATGAAATGCAGAGAGAAAAGAGAAACCAAAAAAATGAAAAGATCTTTAGTGAGCTGTGGACAACTTCAATAAGTGACTTACTATATGAGTAACTGGACTCCCTGGAAGAGAGGAGAGTAAGGCGGAAACAGGAAAAATATATGAAGATAGTGGCTGAAAACCTTCAAAACTTAATGAAGCTATAAACTCACAGATCCGAGAAGCTCAAGGAACCCAAAACTCAGGAAACATGAAGAAAAATACACCAAGGAAAATTATAATCAATTACTCCAAATCAATAAAAGAGAAAATCTTAAAAGCAGCCAGAGGAAAAATACATGCTATGGATAGAGGAATAAAGGATGACATCAGGTTTCTTACCAGAAATGATGCAAGTAAGAAGAATGGAGCTATATCTATAAACTACTGAAAGGGAAAATAACTGTCTATCTAGAATTACACACTCAGCAAAAGCATCTTTCAACAACAAAGGCAAGACAACCTAGAAAATGGGATTAAATATTTGCAAATCATACATCTGATCCAGGTTTAATATCTGGAATATGTAAAGAACTCCTACAACTCAAACAACAATAGAAACAACCCAATTTAAAAATGGGCAAAGGTCTTGAATAGACATTTCTGCAAAGAAGATGTACAAATGACTAATAAGGACGTGAAAGTACGCTCAACATTATTAGTCATTAGGGAAGTGCAAATCAAAACCACAATGAAATATCACTTCACAGCTACTAGGACGTGTATAATAATTTTTAAAATGGAATAACAAGTGTTTGGTGAGGATGTGGAGAAATTGGAACCCTCATACTTTGCTGGTGTAAATGTAAAAATGATGCAGCTGCTATACAAAACAGGTTGGTGGTTCCTCCTGAAGCGACATGTAAAACCATATGACCCAGCTATCTCACTCGTAGGTATATACCCAAAGGTATTGAAAGTAGGGACTCGAACAGATTACTTATTTTGTTTTGGTGGCCGGTATGGGGATCTGAACCTATGACCTTGGTGTTACAAGGCTGCACTCTAATCACCTGAGCTAACCCACCAGCTCTCAAACAGATACTTGTATGTCAGTGTCCACTGAAGCCAAACAGTGGAAACAACCCAAGTGTGCATCAGCAAATGAATGGTAAACAAAATGTGGTGTATGCATAAATGGAATATTATTTAGTCATTAAAAAGGAATGCAGTTCTTTTTTTTTTTTTTGTCTTTTTTCACATCCGGCAATGGATCGCAACCCTCAGTGTCGCGCCTGTACCGGACCGGGACCGGCAACGGGATTGCAACCCTCGGCGTTGCTCCCGCACCTCGCTGAGCCAGTGAGCGGGAACCGGTCTGTATGTGGGATCCGAACCCTCGGCGGGAGCGCCGCCGCGCTCCCAAGCGGCGCACTGTAGCAGTGTGCCACTGGGCCGGCCCCTGGAATGCATTTCTGATACATGTTAGAATATGGATGAAACTTGAAAACCTTATGCTAAGTGCAATTAAGTCAGGCACAAAAGGACAAATATTGTATGATTCCACTTATATGAAATATCTAGAATAGGCAAGTTCATAGAGACAAAATAAAGATGTTCAGGGGCTAGGGGGAGAGAGGAGTAGGGTGTTATTACTTGATGGTTACAGAGTTTCTTTTTTTTTTTTCCTTTTTTTGTCTTTTTTCGTGTCCGGCAACTGACCGCAACCCTCAGTGTCGCGCCCGTACCGGACCGGGACCGGCAATGGGATTGCAACCCTCGGCGCTGCGCCCGCACCTCGCTCAGCCAGTGAGCGGGAACCGGTCTGTATGTGGGATCTGAACCCTCGGCAGGAGCGCCACCGCACTCCCAAGCGGCGCACTGTAGCAGTGCGCCACTGGGCCGGCCTACAGAGTTTCTTATTGGAGTGTTGAAAAAGTTTTGGACATAGAAAATGATTATGGTTGCATAACATTGTGAATATAAATAATGCCACTGAATTGTATACTTAAAAATGGTTAAAATGGCAAATTTTATGTTATTTACATTTACCATAATTTTAAAAATTATGTAATATGCAAAAACCATTGAATTTCACAGTTTAAATAGTGAGCTATATCTCAATAAAGCTGTTTAAAAAAACCCCAAAGGCACAATACATTGTCAGATGTACAAAAGCTGCAAGAATTTATCACCAGCAGTGTGACAAGAAATGTTAAAGAATGTCTTTCAGGGAGAAAGGAAACCAAATGGAAGTCTGGATCTACACAAAGGAATGAGCAGTACTGGCAATGGTAACTACATAGGTAAATATGTAATACTTACGTTATCTTAAAAAAATAAGTGACAGTACAAGTTTTCTGTTGCTGTGTAACATCACTCTCTGGCTCATAGTCCTGTAGGTCTGGTGTCTTGCACAGCACAACTGGCTTCTCTGCTCAGCACATCAAAGGCTGATGTGGGCTGGACCAAGTTCTCATCTGGAGGCTCTGGGGAAAAATTCACTTCCAAGCACACTCCTTTTCTTGTCAGAAGTCAGTTTCTATAGCTGCAGGACTGAGGTTCCTGCTTCTGCTGCCTGTCAGCTGGGTGCTGCTCTTAGCCCACGTTGCTTGTCATGTTTGTACCATCCACCTTCAAGCTAGTAATGGCACGTCACATTTTTCTTGTGCCTCAAATCTCTGACTTCTCTTCTGCGGCCACTGGAGAAAACACTTGTTTTCTTATCTGTGAAGTGAGGATATTATATTAGGTCAGGTTTGTTTTTTGTTTTTTTCTCTCAAAAAAGAGGATTTGTAGTGCTAGGTAGAATCGTTCAATTCTAAATGAAATTTAGCATGGAACCCCAGAGATTGAGGGGTAAAAAGTGAAACTTACAAAGCTCTTTCCTTCCTAATCTTGGGGAGTTTCAGGCATTGTAGATTTATTTATGGAATATCTTTATAGTTGCTCTGTATAGTGGGTGTTTGCGTCATACCTAGCTGGTATGAGAGAGTTTAGGTTGACAGTTCAGGAAGCCTCCCAGGCATGGCAAGTTTTCCTCATGTTTCTTTCTTTTCCCCAGCTTCACCTTCTCAAGACTCTCTTGTTATTCAAGAAAATATCATCAAGAACCAGGAGGGCATGGAAGCTGAGTCACTAACTGCCCAGTCCCGGGTAAGTCGGGTTGCTTTCTTCTTTGTTTTCCAGCTGAGAATACCCTTTTGCTTAAGCTCTGAAGTTCCTTTGTCCAGGCAGTTCAGAAATTGTATCTCAGACACTCTCCAGGAGATTAGGACTATTTTGTTTTGCTTTATTTGTAGTTGTAGTTTTATTTCCTTTAATACAAAAGAAACACAGCACAAGTGTAACAGTAATATGGGCAGGAGTTGAATGAGGTGAGATCAAGGACTGTACTGAGATGCTGTTTCATCCATTCTAAGGAATTAAGCCTTCAGCAGGTTTCCTGCCCTAAAGATAATGAGAAAACTGAGAACGTTGGTGCCTCTCGAGGGTTGCTCTGGTTCCTGGCTGTCGTGGATGTGGTGCTGGCTGTGTTAATTCCTCCATGGGGAGCCCCTGTTTGGAAGAGCTCAGGGACAAGTTATGTAATTATCAAAGGGTAACTGCAGCCAAGGGGCAAAGAACTCAGGGGAGGACGGAACCTCTGGGAACACCCAGGGAGGGAAACTTAGCTCTTTGAGCCTGTTCAGCTTCTTCCTTTGGAGGATCCTTCATGCAGGTCTGGAAAGGTAATCTGGGGAGGCAGGTTGAGAGTGGAGCTGAGGCTCCCTGGTGTGGTTGGTGCGTATATTTACACAAGGAGATTTCAATAGTTTACAGGTTCAGGAGAAAACTTGCTGAAGTGACATTTATGCAAAAACTTTAAGGATGACTTGTGATTGTCCAAATTAATACGAGAGAAGGTATTTATGAAGACCCCAAATTTCGAGAGCTCATGGCCTGTTTGAAGAGTAAAAAGCAGTTTGGTGCAGTCCAAACACAGAACCGAAGGGAGCGTGGGCAGTTCAGACTTTCTAGGCCTGTTTGACTCCAACTGCAGCACGGATGCTGTGTTTGCACGGGGCTGATGAGATTCCCTGGGAGGAGTGTGCACAGTGATAACAGGGCAAAGCAGAATTGAAGCAGATACCATGAGCTCATTGACGGGCTTGCAAAGGAGGCTGAGCAAGTCTTCCATGAGGTAAGATTGTAAACCAAGTGTGTGCAGTGTCAAGGAAGACAGTTTTTCAGGAATGATAATATGACTAAATTATAACGTGCTGCTGAGAAGCTAGGCTACAGTGACTGAAAAATGAATTAGTGAGAAGAGAAATCACTGTGGGCTTTGGTCTTTCCCTTGTTTGAAAATTTCTAATATATACAAAGGTAGAAAAATAGTTTGTGGCTGAGTGGAAGGAGATAATGTTATATCTAAAATGGACTAGTGCCTAATATCAATAATAAGCAACTCTTGCTGATCAAAAAAAATAGAAACAGATAAACTGAAAACAATATACTGTTTTACAGCTAGCTGTATTTATATATGAGGTAAAAATATATTTAGAAAGAAAAGTAACACAATTCAGGATGGTGCTTACTTCCAGCAAAGAAGGAGGAGCATACAAGAGGTTTCAGAAATATTTTGATAATTCAGAGTATACTTAGGCTTTGTTAGGCTTTGCACATTCTTGTGTCCACGTGTGGTGTCTTCAATGGATTGTGCTTCTCACTCCATTGTCTTCAACACAGCCCTGTGGCAGTGGTATATATTCTACACGAGTTAGGTAGTATTTTACAGCTAGGAGAACTAACTCTTTTTGAAGTTAAATAAATCAAACAAGCATTATCCATTCCAGAATTTAAGGTATCCAAGCTGAAGCCCCAGGTCTGCCTGAATTCAGATCCAGTTCTCAGCTACCTTCTCACACACCTGTCTTTCAGTGGTGTCCACATGACTTGCTTTGTCCACATGACTGGTGTTTCCAGTGAATGCTAAAAACACCAGGCCAGAAATCAGATGACCAGTTAAATTAATAATGGGCAAGATTTTTAGAGAGAATTGACACCAGCAAATGAGCCAAAGACTAGTAGAAAGCAGCAGGCACACTTCATATTGAGTGATGCAAGAGTGCGGTGGGGAAAGGTGTCATCACTGCTAGGCCTGAAGGCTTGAGGAGAGGGACATGTTCTAAAAACCAGACATGATTCATGGGGCTGTTACCCTCCATCAAGGGAAGGTGTGCCCTCCCTGCCCCCCACACCAGGGCAACTTTCTTCCCATATCCAGTTGGTGATCCCGTTGGTAAAGTAAGTTGGGAGGGCAAGAGAACCCTTTGAGATAGTTCATATAGGTCACCCTTCCTGGGAACAGAACAGGGTGGAGAGGACCTGGAAGGAAAAAGAGAAGATAACCCAGAAAACCTCACAGAGCATTCCTTCTAAAATTTTTGTATTTATTTAAAAATTTACATATAGTAAAATTCTGTTTTTGGTGTATAGTTCTATGATTTTTGACAAACACATGTAGCTATGTAACTACCACTTAAATCAAGATACAGATACAGAAATATACATCACTCCAGCCTTCCCCATGGGCCACCCCCCTTTGTTATCAGTAATTCCTCCTCCCCCCTCCCACCCCCACAACCGCAGGTCTATTCTCCATCCCTAGATTTTGCCTTTTCAAAAAATGTCATATAGATGGAGTCATATAGTATGTAGCCACTGGCTTCTTTCCTATAGCGTACGCATTTGAGATTCATCTGTTGTTGCACTAGTCAGTAGTTTGTTTTTATTGCCGAGCAGATTTCCATTGTATGGATGTACCACACTTTAGTTATGCATTCACTGTTGAATGATATTTGGGTTCTTTCCAGTTTCTGGCAATTATAAATAAAGCCCTTTATCTGTTTTATACATTTGCGTACAGGTGTTTGTGTAAACATAAGTTTTCATACTAGAACATTTAGCCGAGAGAATGATAGGTCATATGGTAAGGGTATGTTTAACTTTATGGAAATCTTTCCAAATTTTGCATGTATTTTTCAAAGTGGCTGTACCATTTTGCATTCCCACAGTAATGGGTGAGAGTAGCAGTTATTCTACATCCTCACCAGCACTTGGTGTTATCAAATTTTAAGTTTATCCTTACTAATAGGTGTCTAATAGTATCTCACTGTGGTTTTAACTTGCATTTCCCTAGTAAATAATTACACTGAGTTTCTTTTTGTGTGCTTATTTACCACCTATATGTCTTCTTTGGTGAAATGTTTATTTTAGTCTTTTGCTCTATTTTTAACTAGTCTCTTTTCTTACTGTTGAGTTTTGAGAGTTCTACATTATGCATAAAGTCCTTTGTCAGATACGTGATTTGCAAATATTATCTCCCAGTATCTGGCTTGTTGTTTCATTCTCTTTGTAGTGCCTTTTGAAGAGAACTCCGCTTTCTCAATAATGTGTTCTTTTAAGGATCATACTTTTGGTGTTATAACTAAGAACCCTCTAAATAACCCAAGGTCATAAAGATTTTCTGCTGTTTTTTGTAGAAGTTTTATAGATTTATGTTTTAGGATCTTTTTTTTTTTTAATGCATTGATTCATTTATCATTAGGTAGTATCCCCTGTTTAATCTCTGGTAATGTTCTTTGTTATGAAATCTTATGTTGTCTGATATAGTCACTCCAGCTTTCATATTAGTGTTTCCATGGTATATCTGTTTCTGTGCTTTTACTTTTAACCTCTCTATGTTGTTAAATTTAACATGGTTGTTTTTTTAAGGTAGCAGATAGTTGAGGCTGTGGGCTTTTTTTTTTTTTTTAATCCAATTTGGCAATCTGTTTTTTAATTGGTATGTTTAGACCCTGTATGTTTAATGTTATTAATATGATTGAATTTAGGCATCATTTTTATTATGTATTTTCAGTATATCCTCCCCCCTTCTCATTTTACTGCCTTTATTTGGATTATTTGATTTTTTTTTTTTGTATTTTATTTTAATTTATATAAGCTTTTTAGTTGTATACTTTTATATTTTTTAAATAGTTGCTATAGGAACATACATAATTTTTTATAGTCTACTTAGAGTTAATTTTTACCAGTTCAATAAAATCTAGAAGCCTTACAACATATGGGTCCCTTTACTTCCCTCCCTTTATATTAAACTTGTATATACATATATATATATATATATATATCTGTGTGTGTGTGTGTGTGTGTGTGTGTGTGTGTGTGTGTGTGTGTGTATATATAAAAATATTTGTATATATATATATAAAACCTATACATACATTGAAAAACTCCACCAGAAAATGTTGCAGTTTTTGCTTTCAACTGTTGTATGTATTTTTGAAGAATTTAAGAGAAGACGACTAATCTATTATATTTACCCAGATATGTACTGTTTTTGTTGTTCTGGTATGATTTCCCTTCTGCCAGAAAAACTTCCTTTATCATATCTTTTAGGGCATATCTTCTGTCAACAAATTTGATTTTTATTTCATTTGAGACTGTCTTTATTCTACATGATTTCTGAAGGATATTTTCACTAGATATAGAAATTCTGGCTGGCCAGTTTTTTCTTTCAACATTTAAAAACAGTATTCTACTGTCTTCTGACCTTCATGGTCTTTGAGGAGAAATTCTCAGTCACTCATCCTAGGTTTTTTTCTGGCTAATAAAGACCTTACATCTATATCTCTTGTTTCTTTGTCAAATTGTTTTGTTACGGGCCAGCCCGGTGGCGCACTGCTACAGTGCACCGCTTGGGAAGCGCAGTGGCGCTCCCGCCGAGGGTTCGGATCCCACATACAGACTGGCCGCTCACTGGCTGAGCGAGGTGCGGGAGCGGCACCGAGGGTTGCGATCCCGTAGCCGGTCCTGGTCCGGTACGGGCACGACACTGAGGGTTGCGATCCGTTGCCGGTCACGAAAAAAGACAAAAAGGAAAAAAAAAATTGTTTTGTTACTACTAAATATAATCTCTTAACTTCTCCTTTTTTTTTTTTTTTGTCTTTTTCTGTGTCCGGCAACGGATCGCAACCCTCAGTGTCGCCCCCGTACCGGACCGGGACCGGCAACGGGATCACAACCCTCGGCATTGCCCCCGCGCCTCGCTCAGCCAGTGAGCGGGAACCGGTCTGTATGTGGGATCCGAACCCTCGGCCGCGCTTCCCAAGCAGCGCACTAGCGCAGTGTGCCACCGAGCCGGCCCCAACTTCTCCTTTTTTTTATCCCTACCAATATCCAGAGTGTTTAAGATAATTATTTTAGGTCATAAAACATGGCTGGGGTTGTAAGTCTCTTAAGCATTAAAATATATTATACTTGAATTCAATACTTCCTCCCCATCCCCCACCCCCCTTTTACAGTTCCTTAACTTAATGCACAACATGGAACTTGTTTTTGGACAGTAGTTACGTAATACACATTCCTTTTTAAGATCTCAAAATAAATACTGTTCATTCCTAGAATAAATTCTGGTTTAAATCCTCTTTCTCCACTCCAGTACTATCATCCTAGTCTCGCTTCCCGTCAGGATTCAGGAAAGGGATGGCAAAAATATACATCTGGCTCAGTACAAATTTGTTTGACATTCTAGACACTGGTGACCTTCAAGGATGTACTTGTGGACTTCACCAGGGAGGAGTGGAAGCTGCTGGACACTTCTCAGCAGGTCATGTACAAAGATGTGATGTTGGAGAACTATAAGAACCTGGTTTCTTTGGGTAAGATTAACCTCTGTTTTTGAAGATGTACTCACTGTGGTGATTTGAGTTTTTAATAGGTCAAAAGATACAGAGATTCTGAAGTATATATCAGAGCATGGACTTGGGGTTCAGGGACCTAATTTCTCTGGGGCATAGAACAGGATTTTTGCACTCTCACATTTGTGGAAAAATTGTTTTAGTTTATTGAATTTTTTAAAATGCATATTTCTTTTGTTGTCTCTCCATCCTCACGTTGTCAGCTCTGCAGAGTCCCCTCAGCACTGTGAAGGGATTGGGAGTTGGGCAGAATCTGGGATGCTTCTTTGTGTCTGCCTCAGAGCTCCACCTACTCTTACCCATTTTTTTTCTTCGCTGTGAACAGGACATCAGCTTTGTAAGCCAGACGTGATCCTCTGGTTGGAGAAAGGGGAAGTGCCCTGGCTACTGGAGAGAGAGAGTCACCCAGAGACCTATCTAGGTGAGGACAAGATGACACATCACAGGCATCAGCCCAGATAACCCATGAGGGGCTAGAACCCCTGGAGATAGTGGTCACTAGTTCTCCTCACTGGTTCTTTTTTCTGAGGAGACTGAGTTTATCTACTTTCTGTTTCCCCACTGCCAGTGTTCTTTCTGCATTTTTGTCATTCTTCTATTTGCAGAGAGAAAGGTGTCTTTGTTAAAATGGTTGATATGCTTGGTTTCAGCCCTGTTCCTGTTGCTTTTCTGATTGTTACCACTAACTGGCATCCCCATTCTCTCAGATTTCATAGGATCATTTCTTGTATCTTTGCCTCTCTTCTCTCTTTCACATGGCCCCTTCTCATAGCTCAGTTCTTTTCTCTGCGTAAGCTCTGCAGTGGGACTTTTATCACCCGCCACTATTTTGAGTGTTTGTTTTTTGCCAGTTAGAAAACTGCTGCTGCAGAGGGCTCACAAATTCCTGTTGGCTTAACTCTCCTCCCTTTCCATAATTGCTTCTTTCAGAAACACCTGTTTTTCTTACTACACTCTAGCTATTTAATGTTTTTAAAATTTATTATTTTTTCATTTTAATGTTGGTGTCTCTAAAATGCAGGTTATTATGCAGCTTCCAAATGTAATTCCTTTTCCCAGTGTCCCCGTGTATACCCTGTGCACAGGGAAAGTCAGCTTCCCATTCCATTATTCTCTGTGAGTGGTCTTTTCTCTGACCTTTGTTTCTAAGCTCAGTACTCTGATATACTTCTCTGTCATTTAGATACTGCTATCTGAATCATACTGCAAATAATCTGTCATGTAGTATAGTAGGACACTTGCCAGTGACCCCATGTAGGCTCATATGGGACATGTAGCTTCCCAAGCCCAGTGCAATCTAGTCACATCAGAATGGCCCACAGTCATTTCTGTCTGTTCCTCTTAGGCCTAATGGACTCACTTGTCAGATATTTCCCTGCTTCTCAGGTGTTGAGTGTGATGTGAATAAAATCTGGCTAAGTCTTTTACGCTTTTACTGTTTCCCTCTCCGCCCTTCCTTTTCTTATTCTCTAGCAAGCTTATAAAACCATATTTGAAAGCAATTCTACTCATGTCTTAAATATTTTGTCTCCATATACATCCCACCATTCTCACCTTAATATTTTCTTTAGTTATGTGAACTTTTTCATTTCTTTCAGATTCAGAGACTGCAGTTGACATTAAATCATCAGTTTCCAGTAAGAGCTTTTCTAAAGATAAACAGACCTGTGACATTAAAATGGAAGGAATAGCAAGGAATGATCTCTGGTATTTGTCATTAGAAGAGGTTTGGAAATGTGAAGACCAGTTGGACAAATATCAGAAAAACCGGGAGAGACATTTGAGGCAAGTGGCATTCACCCAAAAGAAAGTACTTACTCAGGAGACAGTCTGTGAAAGTGGTAAATATGCAGGGGACTGTCTTCTTCCTGCTCAGCTAGTACTGAGAGAGTATTTCCATAAACGTGACTCACATACTAAAAGTTTAAAACATGATTTAGTTTTTAGTGGTCTTCAGAAAAGTTGTACAAGTAACAGTAATGAATGTGGTCAAACCTTCTGCCAAAACATTCACCTTATTCAATTTGCAGGAACTCACATAGGAGATAAATCCTACAAATGCCCTAATAATGACAACTCTCTTACTCATGATACATCCCTTGGCATATCAAAGGGCACACATAGAGAGAAACCCTATGAATGTAAGGAATGTGGAAAATTCTTCAGCTGGCGGTCTAATCTTACTAGACACCAGCTTATTCATACTGGAGAGAAACCCTATGAATGTAAAGAATGTGGGAAATCTTTCAGCCGTAGTTCTCACCTCATTGGACATCAAAAGACTCATACTGGTGAGGAACCCTATGAATGTAAAGAATGTGGAAAATCCTTTAGCTGGTTCTCACATCTTGTTACCCATCAGAGAACTCATACAGGAGACAAACTATACACATGTAATCAGTGTGGGAAATCTTTTGTTCATCGCTCCAGACTTATTAGGCACCAGAGGACTCATACTGGAGAGAAACCTTACGAATGTCCTGAATGTGGGAAATCTTTCAGACAGAGCACACATCTCATTCTGCATCAGAGAACTCATGTTAGAGTGAGGCCCTATGAATGTAATGAATGTGGGAAGTCTTACAGCCAGAGATCCCACCTTGTTGTGCATCATAGAATTCACACTGGACTGAAACCTTTTGAGTGTAAAGATTGTGGAAAATGCTTTAGTCGGAGCTCTCATCTTTTCTCACATCAGAGAACCCACACTGGAGAGAAACCATATGAATGTCTTGATTGTGGGAAATCCTTCAGCCAGAGTTCTGCCCTCATTGTGCATCAGAGAATTCATACTGGAGAGAAACCATACGAATGTTGTCAGTGTGGGAAAGCCTTCATCCGGAAGAATGACCTCATTAAACATCAGAGAATTCATATTGGAGAAGAGACCTATAAATGTAATCAGTGTGGCATTATCTTCAGCCAGAACTCTCCATTTGTAGTACATCAGATAGCACAAACTGGAGAGCAGTTCTTAACATGTAATCAGTGTGGGACAGCACTTGTTCATATCCCTAACCTGATTAGATATCAGACCAATCATATTAGAGAAAATACTTACTAATGTAATGAATATGGAAGATTCTTCACAAAGAGCAATAACTATTTTGCATTGGTGAACATCTTCTGGAGAGTAACTGTACAAGTGGAATCTATGTGGAAATGCTTTCAATCTCGTTGTTGCCCTATTGCACACTAGAGAATTTGGTCTTGGAGGGGGAAAACCCCAAAGATTTCATTTCAGTACACAAATACATCAGATTTTCTTCTTTCCACAAATTCCTACAAAAGTAATTGGCTTGGGAGCATTCTTGACCAAGCCTTAAATGCTAGAATCTGAGAAGAACCCATTAAGTAGGTGAGTTGTTGAGAGTTAATCCAGCTTTATTACCTTCTGCAAAAAGTTAAACAAATGAGTATGCTACTGTAGGGAGAGGTGTTGCTGAGAATAAAGACTGATATAGTTATTGCAACAAAAGCTAGAAAATAATATTTTAGTGAAGCAGTATACCATTGTTGAGTCTGCCTCTCTTCTGGGACACTTAGTAGTGTTTAGCATGTTTCATGTGTATAGTATTCACCATGTTTTGGTTAGCAGCAAAGAAAATGCTTACAATGTAAAGCAGTTAAAAACAGCACATTTGCACTACTAGTAATACCAGTTTTTAAATATATTTGTGGGCAAGAAAGTATCTATAGGTAAATGAACAGATTTGATTTGTTAGATAATGAGATTGTGAGTGAGTTTTATAGTGTATTATTCAGTGTTGCTGTAATCATTATTTTAAGGCATTTAAAAATATTTAAAAAGGATATCTAGTTTCTCTATTTTACCATCAAGGAAGCTTGAGGACCATCTGCTAACAAACCTTCCTGTTAATTCTAAGTTGTTTTGGGTCATAGAGTTCCAGTCTTTGAGACATGGTGGTTAAGGCTCCTGAGGATTTAAAAAACAACAGTAATTCTCTGGATGTTGGAACCTAGAGGAATGTTGGGCATTTGTACACATCAGTGAGGGTTTCTATTTGAGTGGGAGCAGGTATCTGGGCATTATTTAGAGCACATGTGTTGGTGAGATAAACACAGCACTGCCTAAAGCCACCCTCCTTCTCAAGGCAGTCTTTCATCTTTATAAAGAAAACTTAGTGAGTAAGAAGGGTTGAAATTCCACCTCTGACCCTAACTAGCTCGGTGATCTTGGGCATACTGCTTAGCTTTTCTGTAATATCTATAAGTATATCTGATATCTGTGAGGATAGCTTACAGATATCCTCCTCTGTAGATTAGAGATAATAGTAGTACTTACCTTGTAGGATTGTGGTATTAAATGAGTAAACATAAATGGCTTAGAATAGTGCCTGACATATATTAAGTTCTTGGTAATTATTAGCTGTGCCCCACCTTAGTGTCTGTCATTTAATTTAAATCTGCTTGTGTGCTTATAAGAGCTCATCAATTTCTCACGTCCCTTCCAGCCAAATGTATTTTTCCCTTTTGCCTAAATCAGAACTTATCAATCTGGGAAAAATCACAAATAGTGGGTATTTGTCAGAAATCGTTTCATTTCTGAGGATCAATAAAGAATTTTTAATATTGTATGCACCATTGTTCTGTTTGTACAAAGGCTTTCCCTTCTAGGGAGAAGATTCCAGTCTTCAGATTCTCCATTAAATACATGATCCAAAAAAGATTCAGGAGGAGGACCTGTTTTCATCTTCCATATCATTCTATAAATGAATCTCATGTGTTTAGGAACTAGCCATGATTTGCCATTTTCTAGCATATATTTAGATGCTCAGTGATTGCTTATTGAATGATAAATGAATATTGTTGAAACCAACGGGACGGAGATCTTGATCTCTCCCTAGAAAATCTAGAAATGATGGTTAGGATCATTTACTCATAGACTTGAGAAATACACAGAACATGAGATTATTTAACTGGTACTCTTCATTATATAGATAAGATAAAGTGAGTTGGCCCAGGTCTCACATTTTTAGAGAAGTCACCCAGAACTACATCGTAGGTTCTTAATTTCCGCTGGTTTCCTTAGTGTTTATATGCCATTCACATGTATAACATATTTCTATCAAATAGTTTTTATTATAAGCAGTGACTCTTCATGGGAGTATAAGAATAGCCCCTTAACTGGGCCTCAAAATTTCTGATAACCGGGGCCGGCCCGGTGGCGCACTGCGCTAGTGCGCCACTTGGGAAGCGCGGCGGCGCTCCCATCGAGGGTTCGGATCCCACGTACAGACCGGTTCCCGCTCACTGGCTGAGCGAGGCGCGGGGGCAACACCGAGGGTTGCGATCCCGTAGCCGGTCCCGGTCCGGTACGGGGGCGACACTGAGGGTTGCGAACCGTTGCCGGACACGGAAAAAGACAAAAAGGAAAAAAAAAAAAAAAAAAACAGTAATAGCATCATTAATAGCTCACACATATAGCACCTACTATGTGCCAGGCACTGTTTTATACACATCATCTCACTTCATACACATAACAACTCTGAGGTAGATACTAGTACCATCCTCATTACACAGTTG